TAATGGGCTGGACACCCCCGTTTGGTGTGCGGTCGAACATTCGAACCTAATGAAAGTTCAACTGTGAACTTCGAATATAATGCAAGTCTATGGGACTTGAACTTGTAAACTCAAAAGTGCCCATTTTGAAGGCTTATATTCAAGTTACTGACCATAACAGGGGTATAGGGTAAGGGTACTGTACTGCCCTGACAGACATGAATCAGTGAAAAAAAAAAATTTCACAAAGTAATGTTTTTAAAGGGGCAGTCATTTTTCATTGCTTAAAGTAAAAAAAAAAAAACAATTCCTTATATATATTTCCCAGGAGGGTCTCCATAAGCTACCTGCAAAGTTGCATATCTGTACAAGGTATAGAACCTGCTGCAGCAGGATTGACATAAAAAAAAAAAACAAACAGCGTGACCCCCCCCCCCAATCTATACCTTTTAGGTCTGGTAGAAAGGTTAGGAGGCACCCCACAGTAAAATATTTTTAAACAAGTGTGTGGGGTCCCCTTAAAAGTCTGGTAGGACTTCTAAGGGGAACCCCACCTCCCAAAAATGGTAGGTAGTGTGTGGGGTTCCCTCTTAAAGCCATACCAGGCCCTTGATCAAAGCACAGGCCTGGCGGGCAAGAGAAGTGGGGGGGGGGCGAACGTACCAGGCAACATACCCTAAACATGGGGGGTGCTTTGGGGTAAGAGGGCTCCCCCCAAAAGCACCTTGTCCCCATGTTGATGGGGAAAAGGGCCTCTTCCCCACAACCCTGGGCTCTGGTTGTGGGGATCTGCGGCGGTTGACTTATCGGAATCTGGCACCTCCCTTTAACAAGGATGCCCCCATATCCTGCCCCCCTTGTGAATGAGTATGGGGTACATAGTACCCCTACCCATTCACCAAAATAGTGTAAAATGTGAATAGAAACACAACAAATTTTGACAAGTCTTTTATTTTTAAAAAATCCAAAAAAATGGTTTCATCGTTGTAATCCATCATCAATCATGGCGTCCAGTGTTGTCACGATGATGCCGACTTGCCGAAACAAAGAAAAAACTGGACACTCGCAGACCCGTCCGCACCCACCGAGCACTCTACGCTATCTGACATTTGCCGGTCAGATGTAAACAAATGGGTGGAGCTAGTCATAATATCACTGCTAGCTCCGCACAATATTGCTGTGATTGGCCAAAGCATTGCACCTGACCTTTGGGTCATGAAGGGGGTAACACCTTCTGGTTAAAAAATGATTTTAGGCCTGGAGAGTAGTTAAAACTTGCAAACATTATACAGTAAGTTTTCTGAAAGAAGACATCCTGGAGAATAAAATGCTGGCAGTTCCATTTTTTAAGGTCACCCAATGCAATTGTTTATCAAGTACAATTTTTCTGGATTCTGACATCACACAGTGGGAGGAACTACATAAAGAGAACCTGTCATGGCCCATGCTATCACAAAGATTTTGTTCATTTCTTCTAAAAGCAATAAAAGAGATAATAAAAAAATGTAAACATACAGCATAAAAAAAGTTATTCATAAGAAAATAATAAAATAAATTTAAAGTGCTCCCATTCCCCTGTGCTCATGCATAAATGCAAACGCACACGTAGGCCCCCCATGCATGTGCAAATGGCAATTGCACCACACATGGGAGGTATTGTTACTAATGTCAGAAGAAGAGAAATAATTTTAGCACCAGACCTCCTCTGTAACTCTAAACTGATAACCTGTAAAGTCTTTTAAAGCATTGTCTATGGAATTTTTAAGTACCGTAGTTTTTGCATTTCCATGGGCAGGTGCAATTTTAAAGTGTGACATGTTTGGTATCTATTTACCCAAGCGTAACATCATCTTTTATATTTTACCAAACAATTGGGTATTATATTTTGTTTTTGTGTGTTTAAAATTCATTAAAGTGTATTTTTACAAAAAAATTGCATTTGAAAAACTGCTGTGCAAATATAATGTAACATAGAAATATGTAACGCCCTATTCACTAGGGCCTCTGCTTAAAAAAAAATATAAAATGTTTGGGGGTTCCAAGTAGATTTCTGGCAATAAAAAAGTTTTTTTACTGTGACCAATCACAGCTCACACAGTATTTCTCAATGGCTGCAGGAATGCAGTCAGAGAGAAGGAGAAATGATTGCTTTTACAGCCTTTATGGGTGTAAAAGCACCATTCTTTTTTTCTTTTTTTTCCATTATCAGGAAACAATGTTTCCTATATTGACAGCACACACTTGTATGTATCACTATTCACTGTCTAATACTGCAATATGTGTTGGGATACACTGAAAAATAAATGAAGGTGAGGTTGTTTCTGTTAATAAAAGGATCTAAGAAGAGCTATGCCTTCACCCATTTATATCCTTCACACCTAGGTTTGAAACTTGAGACTATTCATCCAAACAAATTCTTCTTTAAGCTGCTAATAGCATTTTTAGATCAGATGGTCAATGATGTTGTAATAAAATCACTCCTTTTTAAATTCAGTATAATTGTTATGAACCCTTTCATGTCTTTCAGACTTTGGAGGATCATTTCCCTTTCTGCTTCATTTTTTTCCTGTTTAAGGGTCGAATGTATTAAGCAGCAGATGCACGATTGTCATAGTATATGATTGCCTTTGTAGCACTACATAGCAGTAGTGTCCAGTTTTATGATAAAAGTGACTGTTGCTGCTTTAGGCTAGGGCATCTGTTACAAAAAGGTTTCAAAGTTAAGAAAGGTTTCAAAGTTTCAGCGGTACGCTTCAATCGGTTCACCTCTCAGCCTGATGTAGTGTTAGTCAGTAAACTATTTCTAAGTATAATAATTTAGAGATTTTCCTAATCAGAGAAATAGAATAAACATTTCATTGCTGCATCATTTTTTTCTATATAGGAAATAATCACCTATCTTGAAAGTCTATCTACCATGGAGTGAAGTTGTATTTAACAACAGAATATGAACAAAAACACACATATAAGTACAATTTTCTTAGACAGACAACGAGGCTAACAGCAAAGTTCAATCATGTTTTCTCCTTGCAATGTAAAACGTGCAGTGTTGTACTGAAAGAAAACAAGCAAAAGCATTGGAGAAGTTAACTGTCTCATTTTTCTACATTACATAAAATATTTCAGAAGGGTAATTTAAAGTTATTTTAATGGAGGAAAAGGTCTGTTTCTGCTGTAAAGATAGAGGCTGACATAAGCTTTAATAAGCTGATTGTAAGAAGATGTTCAACTCAAATCTCAGCTGTGAGGTAAAAAAACAGAGCTAAATAAATTAAAAATGTGTTACATTTACAATTTACCATAGTAACCATCTTGCTTCCAAGATTTATTTTCAAATCAGGATTATAAAAATGTCAACTGGAAGCTGATTGGTTACTATGCATATCATTTTGTACCCCAGACACATTAAAGCAGTGGTTCTCAACCTTCCTAATGCCGTGACCCTTTAATACAGTTCCTCATGTTGTGGTGACCCCCAACCATAAAATTATTTACCCAGTAATTATAAGTCATGAAGTGTCGTTTTACCTCCAATACTGCTGCTTTCAACACAGTAGCTGATTTTAACAGAGTAGCTGCTTTCAACACAGCAGCTGCTTTCTACACAGTAGCTGCTCTTTACACATCGGAAATATGTGTTTTCTGATGGTCTTAGGTGACCCCTGTGAAAGGGTCATTCGACCCCCAAAGGGGTCGCGACCCACAGGTTGAGAACCACTGCATGAAAGTAACATGCACCTTACACTTTAGTAAATCAAGTCCACAGAGTCTTTCTTCCTTATCCAAAACTGATACAGTGTAAACATTATTTTATGTGGCCATCATTTCTTCTACAATGAATATCTATTTACGTTGAACCAATGTTTCAAGACTTTGACATTATTCCATTCTTTAGTGATGAGCCAAATGCCCTGGGTTGGGATTTGAGGTAAGTTTGTGAACTTAAAAAAATGTTTGTGTGCTGAATTTGAACCTCTTTGAAGTCAATGCGAGCCAAATATAAGAAAAGAGTACTAGCCATTTTCTAGCCTAATAGGCTTGAGATTATCAAACAAATGGCATGGAGAAGTGGGGGGGGGGGCTATATGGTCTGGTAGGGATACATGAATGTGTACCCAGGTGCTGTCTCTGTGAACCCCCCCCCCCCCCGCTTATGAACTAGGAGAGGAAGGACCGTACCGCTGTCCCTATCCCTCTCATTCGAGCCGCCTTTGCTCCCTGCCCGTTCTGTTTCTCCTCCTCCCTCCCACTGGCCGCAGCTGAGGACCAATCAGAAGAGGCAGAGGGAGCATCATGGGACATGTAGTCCCAGGAGGCCAATGGCTACATTTTAAAATGACAGGGAGCAAACTACAGCCCCAGCATGCTTGACTGAGGAAGGAGAGAGTGAGAGGCCCAAGAAAAAGCTCTCTCAATGCAGTGTGCTACCCTTGAGCAGAGACTGGACGCCATAAAAACGAGAGGAAGCCACACTTCCCAGTGCAATGCCAGAGAGAGAGATGATGCTACTGCCCATATACAGATGTGCTGTATTGTGGACTAGAGTAGCCCAGGCAGTCCAGAGTGAGCAAACTTCCAGCCGGAGGGAACACTACTGTGGGATCGCAGGGTCTGGTGAGAGGGCCTGTCGGCCATTATCTACTACCATCCCTAGAGACTGACCCATTAGGAATTACCTAATCAACTACTCCATAGTTCTATAAATACAGCCTGTAGACCTTATTGACTACCTTAAAGTTAAAAGTCAAAGAGCTCCAGCATTTTAGCCACCCAAAGAGTCAAGACTACAGACTGCCCCTAACTGTTGTTGCCCCAAAGTCTTTACTCTTTTGCTTATTAAAGAGGTACCTTTTAGAAGACAATGTGCTACACCCCAGCCAATCCCCTGAGAGTGCACTCAGAACCAAAGTAAAGTTATTATCATTCTTACTGCATTTAAAGTTAATTTATATTGTTTATTGCTGATTTGCTAATTTTCATATTAAGCATGGTTAGTGGTATAGAACCAGGGGCGGACTGACCATTTGGAAACTCGGGCACCGCCCGAGGGCCCGGGGTCAGTAGGGGGCCCCATGAGATGCCCCTGGTACCTTTTTCATAGGCTTTTTTGAGTCTGGGCAAGGACACAGGGGCCCCATGATCCCCAATTGCCTGGGGGCCCCATGAGTTGTCAGTCCACCCCTGTATATAACCTGATTATTTTTTTCTACTTGGGCTTAGTTATTATTCTGTTTAGCAGACTGTGCCCTACTTTGCCTGCTGTGTGATTGTTCATGGTGTGTGCTCATCAAACTGCCATTTATTCAAATCCATATCAGTACATTAAGTATATTTTACCATCATACAGGTGTGTGTCTATTTACTTGTAATAACCCACTGCCAAGGTAAAGGTATTTACCACTTGTGTCTATAGTTGTGCTTACAGTGATTTTCATTCAACCAGGTGTGTCAGAGAGGCTGAGGTTGTTCTTGGAGTCAAGGCGCAGAACAGAGGACCTAAAATTAGGAAGCAGCTCCTTTGGGGGTGGTGGCGTTACACACATTTGTTAGGATGTTGGCAACAACTAGCTCCTTAACAACCAGAAGCCCTGGGCAAGAAGATGTCACATTTAGCAGTGGTAGTAATACCACTGTTAAATATTTCATCAGAGGATTGGCTCAGCCGAACACCCATTTAGTTTGACTCAACCTCTGAACAGCTCGTTTCTACTCAACATAGCTACAGTGTAGTGTAATACTGTTTTCACGTTTCAGTTGTCCAGTTAGTTTGTACTATGTTTGTTCTAATAGATGGGAAAGTAATTGAGTTTTTATGGAGTGAGTAAATGTTTTAGATTAGTGAGGAAACCAATGCATGAAGTTCAATAAATGAAGACTGTAGACCATAGACGCACAGTATGTAGAATCCTTCTCTCAAACCTAAAACCGCTGTTATTTTTTATAGTTTGCTCATGTTTTCAATTTCTACAGCTGACCAACAATAATAAAAACCAAACTTTCACTAGTAATTTTCAGCTTTTTAATATGCCGTACTGGACTCAAAAGCAGTTTTCTAAGACAAAGCGACATATTTACAAAACATTCATTGACAAGTTCACTGGTGTACGTTTTTCTGTCTAATTCACCATTTGAACATTTGCTGACATTTGAAAATTATTTACCAATCACATTTGCTGTATTTGGATATGACTTTCTCCACTGTGCAGAAACCATGGTTTTACAGTTTCAGCACAAGGAAAATTAAATGTAAAGATTTATTTTTACCTTTATTTTAATTAAAGATTCCCTCTTTGGGAATCTTGCACTGGAGGAGGTGTGCAGAGGATATTCTTAGCTGTCTTTGGAACCTAAAAAGGTAAACTTTTAGTTAAATTATATGCAAAGGTACAACTTTTCTTTTAGTTCTGGCTTGAGTGGTGAAGGGTTAGACCCTCTGCCATGTTTTATTTGCCATAATCAGTATTGCTATATGTGCCCCACTAGGTAGATTTACCCTCTCTGTTTGTTATAGTGGCTATTATCCTAGAGGCAGGAAGTGATGGGAAATCCAACATTTTAGAGTTGTTTTCCAAAAAGACCAGGTGAGAACTGGTCAACCATGATTCCCCTCACTTTGGAGAAATTTACTCTCTCTTACTGTTGCATCTATAGGATAGGAAGTGTCCCTAGCTGGACAGAGACATCAAGAATTAAACTAACAACACTTAGTATTTTTATTCAAAACGTTGGATTTGCATACACTTTCATTTCAAAAGATTAAAGCCCTACTCTGGGAAACTTAAAATCATCCCTTGTAGTAGGACTGCACCCACACTGCATGTGTTAACTGATTAGTAAACAAAGGTGCAGCGCTAAGAACTAAAAAAATAGGATATAAGATAAACAACTCAAAAGTTCATATAAGATAAAAATATCCAATTCATTAGACAGTTCATAAAGTGACTCTTGTGCTCCTGTGTTAATATGGACCGGTGACCGTGCTGTGATATGGTAGATAATGTGCACTGACCGGACGCGCATATAAATTGCTCCTTTTTGTCCCATAGTGTAGTATGGCTAAATGATTTTAATAGGCATATGTTAGGAACAAGTTAAAATTGATGCATCAGAGTGATAAAAGAGAATACACAGATGTTCCCTGTATAAAGGACTGACCATCCGGATTATAAAGATGGCCGCCGAAGCTCCATGTTGCTCTGGCGGCGTGATGTCATGGCGTGACGTGGCTCCTCCTGACGCGTATCATGCTCCAACATGTCTTCAGAGGGGAGTTGCCAATCACACCGTGTCATCCACCGTTCGTTTAAATAGGGAGAGGCGCATGCGTATTCCATAACATATGCCTATTAAAATCATTTGGCCATACTACACTATGGGTGTACTTTTGTTTTAACCCCCTGGGGGGAGTCTTAATCCTCAGAACGGGCCCCTATATCCACAGAGGGAATTGCAACCCTGGGAAAGACACCAGTTTAACCGCTTTAAAGGGAACTCTGGAGGACGTGGATCACCCTTTAAAACCCATATGGATCCTGTCTGACGGCCAAACCACCTCCTAGAGGGAAGAGTTCTAGTTCCTGTCCCTTTTCTGATGACAACTGGATTATTGACAAAAAGGCGCAATTTATATGCGCGTCTGGTGAGTAAGCATTATCTACCATATCACAGCACGGTCACCAGTCCATATTAACACAGGAGCACAAAAGTCACTTTATGAACTGTCTAATCAATTGGATATTTTTTATCTTATATGAACTATTGTTTATCTTATATCCTATTTATTTAGTTCTTAGCGCTGCACCTTTGTTTACTATTTTATCCTGGTATTTTTGGTTTTACCACCGTGCATTAACTGCTTCATTTTAGCGCGCTCACAAGTTCTTTTTATGTATATGTGTCAACTGATTGTTTAGTCTAGGGAGGAGTTTTTGCACTTTAAGTTACCTGATCCTCTGCTCCCCTGGCAGATAGCTCTTCGCAACACTTTAGCAGTGGACTGTCCCTTGGTGTCATCACATCCAAAGGGTGATGGACACTGCACTTTCCTTGATAATAGCAAGACCTTAGAGGAAGGAGGAGAATAGGCTGAGGGGACTGGTCTAGCAGCTCAGAGGAGTGGAGGAACCAGTAAGCATATCTACTTTTTTTATATCCCTCTAGACCTAAATAAGCAACTAACCCTTTCAGTGGGTCTGGGGCCAGGTTTTAATGGTTTATATTTATTGTGAGTGTTTGTTATTATTTTATTTTTCATTTCCACACATAATGAACTAATTCAAAGAATGGGGTGACTATCTACTTGCTATGATTATGAGAAAAAGTCAGCTGAAGACTTCTTCAGAAACCAATACTTCTGGGAGCATTGATTTCCTAATCCACTGCTGGTTTCTCCCACCGACCACTACTATGTTCGGGGTTATTTCATTTTGGGTTTTAGTTACAGGGTTGCTTTAAATATAGCCATTTTTGATTTGTGATCCTATCCTACCCATGTATATATTATTCATGGGGTTATAGGATGGGTATGTAACATTATTTTACATGTATGATTAATTTTGAAATCATGCATTCGTTATATTGGTCTCATCCAGTTTTACATTTTTGCACGGCATATTCATGGACAGATGTGTTGTGTTTTTCTTGAGAATAAATCTTAATACACTACGTGATGCCTAGGAGACAAAGTGACTACAGCTGAATTCTTTGACAAAGGTATTTATGACACTGCTGTTTGTGCAGCTGGTGCAATGTGTCACTATTAGATGGTATGCTAGGTATCCTTGAAGACAAATCATTGGAATGAATAACTACCTTTGGGCCATGATATCATCAGATTTCATTTTGATCATAACTTCATCAATGCAGTGTGAAGAAGCTTGGGGCTAAAATCAGTCAACTTAAAATTAAATAGAATGGTAAATCAACAGTGAAAATAGGAATGTAACAGAGCTTTTTTAAAAAACAAATATTAGTATTTGTTCATATTTGTTTTAACCCCTGCATTTTTAAATATGTAACACAGAACTATAGTAAATGGTATACATTCACTCGGTGTGTTAGTGTAGAGGGAAATTGATCATGAAATACATTGTTGTAAAATGCAACATTAACTAAAAGTAAAGAAATTAGGAGACGTTACACAATCTCACATGCAAATTAACAAGAGCCACGAATGCTTTCATTTTCAGTATGAAGATAAATTGCCCAATGGGAATCCTCAAATGACTAAGAAGGGGGATAATGGATTTTAATTACTTTGAATTGCAGTTCTATAATTAGTATATTGTTAGCCAATACCCAAAAGGCTCTGTAAACATACTTGTCACTATTATTGAAAGGCATGAGTACATTATATTTTATATAATTCAGCAAGAAAAAACGTATGGGGATTGTATATTTTAAAGATGTGGTTTTGTCATATCAGGATATGAAATATAAATGTACCAAGGCATGACTATACATATCCTTCTAATCCATTCTATCTTTATCTTTTTTATGCCAATAATCTCTATATGGGTTGTTTTCTTCCTAATCCTTTTTTTCTTCTGTGCCAAGAGAGAAAAAAAAAACCAAAAGACTTTCCCCTATCAAATTCCCATCAGTTTTCTTTCTATCCTTCATTCACATTGACATTGTCAAACCTTCATTTATATGTGTTTAGAGGATATTTCTAAACACATATAAATGCAAGTAATGATTTTTCAATGATACCATTTATACTGTGCATGTACCTGTGTTTGGGTGAAGCCAGTTTAGCTGTTTTTAACCACTTCAATACTGGACACTATCACCCCCTTCCCAGGCCAATTTTCAGATTCCAGCACTGTTACACTTAAAAGAACAATTACTTAATCATGCAACACCGTACCCAAATGTAATTTTTTATCATTTTTACTCTGTAAAGATTCCTATGTAACCAACATTACTTTTTGTTACCAAGCTGTTGGGCTGCCACATGCAAAGTAGCTGAATGGACTGTACTCTCTTGATTAAACCTTTCATTAAAGCATTGCAAAAATATGAATCAATCGGACATTCATTTATTCTTGATCAAAGGGAACTTCCCCTGGAACTTTCTTGTGGACTTTAGGGATGTGGGGTCCTAGGTGTGAGTGCAGATAAATAAACTATGGGATCCTGGTCAAGCCAGGTTGGGTGCATTTAGTGGTTTCAAGAGTTGAAAGAGACAGTGAGACCTATCCCTGGTGCAAAAACCCTGGAGATCCCATGTTAAAGGATTTATATGGCCCATTGGGTTATTATGCACTGCTGCGCACTAGAGGATTAAAAAAATGTGCTTCCCTGCTACATAACATTTGCATTTTGGTGAAAGTCAAAACTCAAATCATCTATAAAGAGTCAATGATTGGTCATGATGACCTC